GATGAGCAAGTTCTCCTCATATTACTATGACAACCGATTATTTATTTCAAGCCTACTTCATGGAAAATAGCAACACCTCAAAAGTTTTAAGAAGCAAAATACTTGTCATGTTAAAAGTAAATAGACTTCAGTAATGCTCTAATAATCAAGAATAAGATAGACATACTTTTTTTCAGTACTGCATGCTCAGGCACGTTTACAGAACAGCTAAAGATTGGATAAGATCACCAGCAACATGTAACAGCACTTTATTTCACTGCTCATTAAGATTATACAAAATCAAACTGCACAAAGGATTCGTGAATATACATATTGCCAAGCAAGTGATTTTTATTACTTTGCAATATCTATTTCCCTAACATTTCCTGAAGACCTGAAAGTTTTAATGATGTCTGTGAACTCAATTTGTTGATATAACAGCTAGTCAAACCTGGATGAAAGTCACACTCTCCAGGGCCACTCAAGGCTTTCTCACTATTAAAGCAAACAACAGAAAGAAGAACTTGGTGTCAATCCCCTAAGTGTGTGAAATTCATGATTTATAATCTTAACAGTGTTTATGTACACTATGATGCTTACTAAATCTAGACTCAGGTCTTAGCTTGCTACCTCTAAGTCAGTGTTTTTTCAGTAGTCAAGAAAGCTAAACTACCTGCCTTGATTACACAAGAACCCTGATGCCAGTACTCCACCACCGCTTTGTTAGTTTTCTGATACTGCTCTCTTAACTGAGCTCTGTGCCTAGGGAAAAATTTAAATGGTGCCATTCATCAGTAAATGGAGCACTACATCCCAAAATCTTATCTCTGCTTGCACACCTGACATATAGCAAAGTTGCTTTACTGTAGTTTAAAGGCCAGCGTGTAGATAACCTTAGGCAAAGAACTGCAAGTTAATCACACAGTTGGGCAACTGACATCATCCATAAATTCTTCTGATATAATGGGACCAGAATGCTAATTTATGTGATGTCCATTTGCTTATCATGAATTGGAAACTTTTTCACATAAAACAAAATTCTAATGCATCATATGGAGTTACAGCCTATGCTAATTGCTTTTGGCATATTTCCCCTTGTAACCATTTAGCCAGCTCTTAGAGATGGCAAATGCATCCTTAAGAATGTTTCAAAACAAGGTATTTTCCCTTGAAATTAAATGCACTAAATGCACTGAGAAGTAACGAAATTTATTTTAATGCATACATTTATAAATGCAATCACTCAACTAATTCATATTCAGATAGAATAGAGTATGTGTTGGTACTTAAATACAAATGGATGCTATAGATGAAGACTTATTACCAAAATCCAAATAGCAAAATTTAGCAAAATAAATATTTAAGAACAGGTTTCCTACATGGTTGATTAAGAACTTCCTAAATCTTGTAGGAAAAAGAGAACTCAGGACCAATGAACCCATTTCATCATTACTACTGAGGTCAAACTGTACAAATGTCAAGAAAAATCTGAGTATGTTCTTATGTAGGCAAAGTTTAGGGTTCAAATTTGTTCCATCTGCCAAAGAATTCTTTCAATAACTTCTCAGCCTGTTAATTAGGGACTCTACCTAGAGACACCAGCAGCTATCAGACTTATTGGTTCTGTAGCAGTGGAAAGTAATAGGAATGCTAGAGGAAAACCCATGCACTCTTCATCCAGTCTGGAAGCTAAAGACTACAGTTATCTTCAGTTCATACAAAAACAGTGCCTTAAGTCTGTTAAATCTGACGATGACGTAAGCAGTCTGTTAAGTGAGTGGAAACTCACACATAATGACTATTATTATTTAATTATATTTTAGGTCAATTTCTGTTAAATCAATTTCTGTTAAACTTAATTACATCCCTCTATGGCTTTAAACTGGGGCAGCTTCTATTAAGTTTACTTTCTCCTGGGGTTTTCACAGTAAAAGCAAATGATAAAGGTCTGGCCACTAAATGAGGACAGCTATTAAATAAGGACGGCTTATATTAAAGCTGAATGGTAAAGATGTGGCTACTGGTTGAGAAAACCCCTTAGTAAGGCAAGCATCTTGTATTAAACAAAAGTAGGGCAAAGGAGAAGAGAGAAGGAAACAAGCTTTGGTCCGTAACTCTTACACGAAACTTAACAGAATGTCCAAATTTTCATGGCAACTTTGTCGGAAGCTTTTCCTAGAAATAAGTGAGTGGTAATTTGATACAGGATCCTCCTTAATGGGAGAAGCAAATTAAGCACAAACCTGAGTTCTGAAGTCCAAGAGATAGAAGGACTTGTAATGTAATTTTTAGATAGTTGTTGACAATTAAAAATTCTGTCAGCATTATTCTAGAATGAGAACCATACAGTGTAATTCAGTTTAGAATTACATCATCATTCTAGAAAGAAAACAGTTGAAACAAATTTTTGGGGAAGTTTATACCCCTCTGAAGTTCTTAAAATCAGTCTCTGTTTTACTGTTGCTCTATTACTATTTGCAGAGAAACTTGTTTCTTTACTAGCACTGACACTGTACTAATGCATATATTCTGATGAATACAGCTATAAGGCAAAAAGAAAAGATGCATTATTTCATATACCATGTTGTGCAGGTTTATGGTGTTCTAGAGACGTGAAACACTCAAAAGCAGTCTAAAAGTGCACAAGTATATCCGTGGCTCTGTCCCCCAACATGCAAATTTCCATAATGCTGATGTTGGAATAAAACCCGGCCATTTCATAAATGCACTCCTTCAATTTCTAACAATTCCTTGTGCTTTTCACAATGCACAGTTGCAATAATTATCATATACAAAAAATGTTTATGAACAACAAGGTTATACTTGCCCACAGTCGATGTGATGACTGATGAAAATACGTGAATTTCTCCTCCACCTGGCTCTATATTCCATGTAAGAAACATAGTGGGCCACCTTGGGGCAAAAGTAGTTGGCAGCAACTTGGCCCAATGACAGGAAAAATCTGTTTGGCTGAGGGCCTACACCTAATCCTCACTAAACATCTGTTAGATTTCGTAAGAAGAGTGTTGAAGATGATATACATATTAGTTTCCAAATGTAACCCAGTAAAGGGATTACTGCAGTGATTCTTGATTGCCCCTGAGAACTAACGGATTTTGAAAATGGAAACAATACGAGCCATTTGACCAAATTAACTCAAAAAATTAATTTTAACTTTTTTAAACCCAAAAGACAGACATTTTTTCACATGAAAGTCATGAATTTCTGTGAACTCTGGAAGACAGAACTCAAATTAGCAAAATATTAATATATCAGGTGCCAGGTAAGAGCTCACACAGACCAACTTCGACACATTTTGATGTACCTGAAGTCACACTGTTCATCTTAGCTGCTAAAGAAAAAGAGCACAAAAGCATTTCTAGGTTAAAATACCTATGCAATGCATAGGCTTTATGGTTTTTAATGACCTGAAACATGGAATTTGTTCAACATGTCCAAATACTGGAAGACGAATATTTTTGTAGCCCTCCAAAGTTAGATGTACCCAGCAGGGATCTATTGTGGGTGTGGGAAGATAAAATACAAAACTTCAATCCATCCATGTTCATAGTGAAGCAGGAATACCACTGTACTATGTTGTTTTGTTCACACACATCAAACGTCAATCTAACTAACAAGTTATGAGCCCTGTTCCAGGTTTAGTCAGACAATGGAGACAGAATGATTATGAACACAGAAGCAGGTTGTGTCTCTGTAGTTCACTTCTCATTTTAAACCAGAGAAGTTATGGCTTCATTTACTTTTCAAGATTTGGTTTAGTCTTTCAAGGATTCTGCCTTTTCAAAAAGAGAATATTTTTCAAGAAGGTAGAGTTGAAGAGATAACAGAATTTTTAAGTCTGGTTTTCCTGAGTTCTGTTCTAAATTTCTGCATAGAAACATTTAAATGAATAAAAATGAGAGATCAGAGGTAGGTGGTTATCAATATGCTTCATTACAGGTAACAGTATAACACGCAAGTAACAACGTTATGACAAAGAGGACATAGGATCAGCTATATTGTGGAAAGATAATATAAATTAATAAGCAGCATCCAAAGAAGTTGGACAATTCTTTTTTTTTAATATATATATAAAACTTGCATATGTGGTTTTATGTAACAGTCTTTGTCATGTGATTTCGACAAGATTTCCAGAAATATTGGTTTACGAGAGTCCCTTGTATTTCTGTGGTTCAGAAAGCAAAGATTTGTCTCAGACATTCTGTATAGCAAACACTGGATGGATATAGTCCAACACATCGCACTTACAAGGAGAAAATAATGATCATGGTCACCCAGTATTTTGTCTGTTTGTTTACACTGTTATCTGAAGTAATGGCCATGTATCAGGACATCGACTGCACTAGAGGGAAACAATTGCCTCTATTTAAGAGAGTTTTCAACTTAAGTACAGGGAGAGACAGTGGATGGATAGGAGAAATAGAGCAAGTGCATAAAGCAACAACAGTTCTAGTCAGAAATCTAATGGCCACTGGTGCTCTTCTGCAACTCTGTAAAGAATCTGCTCCATTATATACACACCAGTATCTTTCACAAGGAAGACTCATAGTATGGCTCATGCATGTAACTTAAATCCAAATCTACACTTGCATTCATTTTCTATAATCAACTTTCAAAACAAATTATGAAGAGAAATTTTTGTTTAGCTTCTGTGTAGTGGGAAAAAAAAGTCTAGCTCAATGAACCATATTTAGGGCATAATAATCTATGAGTTCTGAGCCTAGGTGAAGAGCCAAATTCAGCTTTATTAAAATGGTATAAACACAGAATACATCTAATTAATTCAAAGCAGTTATTGTGAATTCATAACAGTGTAAATGAGGACAGAACGTGGTGCAACATGAATAGGCATAGGATAAAGAGAATGATGACTGATAGATATCTATATGAATGATTATGGAGGGGAACCTACACTCAAATAGTTCAATTAGTGCCACAAACTTTTTACAAATAAAAGTAGAGGAAATAAACACTTTAACAGACAGAGATTTTATCTTTACCTGACAACTGCGTTATTCACAGAAATGGCTTCCAGGTAATTCTTCAGTGCATAATAATTATGGATATATTTCCGAACATAATAGCCTCGCCACCTTTTCTGGATCTAGAGGAAATAAATATTTGCTTAGCATATTTCAAATCAAAAAGTCTGTATACATATCAAATATCTGTAGTATATCCCAAATAATATGGTTTCCTTGCAATTTACATCAAGAAGAAGTACCAATAGGTTTCAATGAAGAAAATTTGGGTAGGATGTAACATATTGTAGTTAAATGGCAATATAAATTTACTATAAAATATCAACATGAAAGAAATAATATAAAATTTTAAACCACTGTTTATATTGAGGTGTGACAATGAAAAGAAGTGTCTTACTACCAGTGGTATTACTCTATGTAAGAATGCTAACAGTGAAGGCAAGAGAAGTGGTGTCTTTTCTCAGGTATCACATGCATTCCCTACTGAGTCACCACCTCACCAGTATCTTCTGCTACACTCTCACCTTTGTGCTCTGAATATATTGCAAACTGAATAAAAACGTTCCCAGTAACTCAATGAATTAGGATTTCTGGAAACTTCATTTACAAATTGCAGTTCTTTCATCTCCAATGTCAAACGATGCATGCCTATTTGTTGCACGTTAATTATAATCTTCTCACAAAATACTATTCCCCTGAATAACAGAGAAAGCCTAACCTGGAAACCTCTGCATCTGTAGCTAGTCATAAAGTTGAATCATGAATAGAAATTAAGTAACATCCTCCACCAAAAAAGATTACTATTTTTGTGCATTTTGAAACATATCAGTTGGGCAGAAAAATAAAGAGAGGGAGAAAAAAAAGAAAAATATTTAAAAAAAAAAAAAAAAAAAAAAAAAAGAGAAACCATACTTAGTCTACCTGACTTTCCTCAAGAACTGATTTCAACAAAACAATTTAAACCTTCTCTGATACTTAAAAATTCTAATCATGATGTTTCTGAAATGATTACATGTTTATCAGACATCAGTTTTGTGGGAAGGGGAAGTAAGCATTAAGAATGGACAATTAAGCATTGGAACAGACTGCCAAGGGTGGTGGTGGAGTCACCATCACTAGAGGTGTTCAGCAAACTACTGGATGCAGCACTCAGTGGTCTAGTTGACAAGGTGGTGATCAGTGAAAGGTTGGACTCAATGATCTCAGAAATCCTTTACAACCTGAGTGATTCTGTGAGTCTGTAATAAGGTAAAAAAACCATCAGTACTGCCATTTGGTTAGCTATATTTATCCCTATGTTATGACATGTACAGGTGGAAGATGTAACTTGCTCTATTCAGTCATGCTGAGGGCTGCTCCACATTTTCTTTGCCATAAGAGTTCAGTGTATTCTGTAGATCTATACATCTGAAAAATAGATTAATGATCTTTTCGTCTGTTCTCAGTGTCTAGTTCCTCTATCTTTACATTCTTCCATCCTTGAACTTACTAATTTTCCTGCAAAATATTCTTTACTTCCTTCTTGGTATTTTGTCTCCTTTTTTTCCCTCTATATTCTTCTAAATTAATGTCTCAATTTCTATCTTCTAGTCTGCATTACCTTCATTACTGCTCCAACATCCACCTCTTTGACCTTTACAGCTTTGAAATCTTAAAAGACAACAGCTGAAAGGCAGAATCTACATTTAAAAAGCAGGCAGTTTGACATATTACTATCCAGAAGCAACTCCAAGAGAGAAGCTACTCCCCTTCATTGAAGAGAAGAATGTTGCAACTTGGTAAGAGTGCTCCTTTTCCTGTTGGCCTCTAGCTATTAGACTTCTAAGAACCCCGTGTATTCTGAGCCCAGAGAGTCAGTCAAGAGGAAGATCCATCTGGAGGGTCTCCAGCTTGCACCCCATCTTCTAGACTCATTACAACCACAGCCACAAATCAAAAAAGAAGAGTAATTGTATTACATTACTCCCTTCTGAAGGGAACTGAGGGCCCTATATGCCGACAGGCCCCATCCCACAGGGAATTCTGCTGCCTGCCCAGGACTTGGGTAAGGGATATCAGTAGGAGACTCCCTGAGCTCATTCTGCCCTCTGATTACTACTCACTGCTAGGAATCCAGGCTGGCAGTGATGATATTAACGAAAGAGGCATCAGGGTAATTAAAAAGGATTCCAACAAACTGGGTAGACTAGTTATTGGGACAGGAGCACAGGTGTTGCTCACATAAGTTCCTGTAGTACCAGGGATGGATGAGGAGTAGGAAAACCTACCTTATCAGTAGGTGGCGAAAGGATTGGTGCTACCAGCAGAATTTTGGTTTTTTTGACCATGGGGTATATTCTGTGTTTCCAAGCCTGCTAGAGTCAGATGGGCTTCATCTGTCTAGCAGGGACAGAAGAACTGTAGACCATAAGTTGGCAGGCCTGATCAGGAGGACTTTAAACTAGGTTCAAAGGGAGAAGGGCTTCAAACCAGGCATTCTAGAGATGAGTCTAAGGGTGGGAAGCCAGAGTTAGGAGTTAGATCATCATCCCAGCTGAAGTGCATGTACCCTAGTGCATGCAGCACAAGTAACAAACACAAAGAGCTGGAGGCCACTGTGCAGCAGGAAAGCTATGATGTAGTCACCATCACAGAAATGTGGTGGGATGACTAGCATGACTGGAGTGCTGCCATGGATGGTCACAAGCTCTTCAGAAGGGATAAACAAGGTAGGAGGGGTGGAGGGGTGGCTCTATATGTCAGAGAGTCTCTTGATTCTGTAGGGCTTGAGGTTAGTAACAACAAGGTTGAGTGCCTGTGGATCAGAATCGGGGGGAAGGCCAACAAGGCTGACATCTTGGTGGGAGTCTGTTACAGACCACCCAATCAGGATGATGAGGGTGATGATTTGTTCTACAGGCAGCTGAAAGATGTCCCAAAATCACCAGTCTTTGTTCTTGTGGGTGACTTTAACTTGCCGGATGTCTGCTGGAAATTTAATACAGCAGAATAAAGGCAGTCTAAGAGGTTCCTCGAGCGTATAGAGGATAATTTTCTACTTCAGCTGGTAGATGAGCCTCCTAGGGGTGGGGCCTTGCTAGACCTGCTGTTTGCAAACAGAGAAGGACTGGTGGGAGATGTGGTGGGTGGAGGCCTTTTGGTGGGAGATGGTTGGAGGCCATTTGGGGCACAGAGACCATGAAATTATGGAGTTTCCGATACTCAGGGATGCCAAAGGGCCATCAATAAAACTTCGACCCTGGACTTATGAAGAGCAAACTTTGGCCTGCTCAAAAGTCTGGTTCAAAGTGTACCCTTGGAACAGCTCTTGGAAACAAAGTGGTGTAGGAGGGATGGACATACTCCAAGAAGG